TGTGTGTGTGTATATATATATATATATATATATATATATATATATATACAAGTCAATATTTTAGATGTAAGAAGAATAGAACTTTCACCAGCAGTATATTTAATGATGATTTGGATGATGGAGAACTTTTTTTTCTTCCTTCATCTTCCATTTATATGCAATCCAGATTGGTAATGTTACCAGAGTTCCCACTTACTACCATGTTTTATAAGGTTTTTAATACTTTAAAATGGAATTATTACTGCCACTTTCTATGTAAATTCAATATTTGAAATGTCTAAATGTTAGACTGTATTTTAGTATTTAATAACCACTATATAAGGTACATGAAAGTGTAGTATAGCATTCCTGGTATTGGTCATCAGTTATTAGTTGTGACTCAACTCACATTAAAAGTATTCAAAAACTAAATGGAAAGTGAAATGAAACTTTAATGAAACAAAATATTATTGCTTAAAAACAGTAAGTCTGAAATTATCACACACTAAATAAAATGGGCTAAAGTTAAATGAAGAAACGTATATTTTGGTACAGAAAGATTTCTTTAGAAATATCTGTGTTTAATGACCATTAGGCTTAAAATATGTGAAATGTTTATGAGTTAAACCTTTGAAGATGTGTTTGTTTTATGTTTAGCATCCTCTTCAGTCAGAACTAGATATCTCTACATTTATAATTTTTGCTCTATATTGAGGATAATCATGTTTTAGAAGAATTGTTCTAGGTCCTGTGCAGCCCTTGGAACTATTTTTACCACCACTTATTGTGCTCAGTCTTAAAGCTATGATTAGGCACTAGTGCCAGATACTATAATTTCAATTGTAATAAATAATGACAAAGTCACCCATAGACCTCATGTTTTGACATCCTTATCATAGACTCTTCACCACATATTGTGGAAATATCCAAGATCACATATAAGTTCAAAGGCAGAAAAGTCCAAAGAGCTGTATCAGTTCACATTACAGGTACATAGTTGAATGGGATTGTTGTGAATCTATTTCTTTGGCCATCTTTCTCATGAAAACTCATAGATTTTGAGATATGGCTGGAAAATTGTAAACCTTCATTTATAAACCTTTTTATTATTTCATTAATGATATTAGGGGATATGCTAAGCTTCATCACGTCAGTTTTTTTTTTTTGTGGTTGGAGACATGAGTGGATCTAGGATACAGCAGGGGAGGTTTCTGACAGGGAGATGCAAAATGGTGCCAGAGGTGCTAATGCGAGTGCAAAGTGGTCACACCTGCAGCATTGGGTCCAGGAGCAAAGTCTCCTGAAGCTCCAGGCTTTTGTGAAATTGGGGATACAGGGATTATGTTTAAGATAATGAATTTCTCAAGTAAACTTTCATATGTCTCAATGGGATGTGAAGAAAACAACTATAACTTGCAGTACCTTCTCATTGCTGCAGTCAGTTTTTTTCATTAGAAAAGGACCTAACACTGGCAGTTCTAAGATTATGGAGCTAAATGACTGTTCTCTGCAAATTTTAATTAGAGAAAGCCAAAGGGGTCAAGTTTGCACATGACTTGAGATCAAAGAGAAAAGCCCTGATGGATTATTTATTGTTTTTATAATTGTTTTTTCAAGGTTAAATTTCTAGGTAATGATTGGTAAAGTGCCTATATTGGGTAGACACTCAGTAGTAATAAGTTTAGGCTATAGTAAAAAAACATTTTTACAATCCTGATCACAATAAAAAATGGCCTTCAAAAAGATTTGGTGCTGATTTTCAATTGCCATTGTTATTGGGGCACTGGGTGACACTAGAGTGCTGAGCTATTTTTTGTAATGAATACATGTTGCATAATTGCAAAAAATCAACTGTTAAAGAAGATAGTTTGAAACAAAATAGTAACATAAACATTACCCTCATGTGATTAATATTTAAGAACCCTCCTACCTGTTCGATTTTCCAGATTTCATTTGGCGAAATCCTCATTGAATAAGTCACTCACCAAAGACAATCTTTATCTGTGCATACCTATAAACTTAAGCAGTATTTTTTCAACAATGTTTGTCCCTGTGTATGGTCATCAAAGCAAGCCCATTTAGTCTCTCCTGACCAATAGTTAACCATAGATAGGATTTTAAGCATTTCATGCAGCTAAATGAGTGTTCGCACTTGCAATTTATAACAGGTGCTGTGCAGATAAGTCTTAAGAGAACTTTAACATTGGGGAAAATATCACTATCACATACCTTCAATGAACCAACTGCCATGGTCGGTCTGTCTTTTTTTTTCTACTTTCAGCCATTTGTCTTTCTACTTTTCAATCTCTTCAAATACAATATCTGCACTGTTAATGAGATCTTCTTGATGATACTAAATTATTTTAGCTAACAACTCACATTCGAATACATCTGGGACTTCACACAGGTATCCTGGAACAATGGCAAATGCATTGATAACCATTTCCTGAAGTTTTGAAAACCTGCACTCTATTTCAGAGCTCAAGTGCACTAGAAGTGAAATTGAAATCGTGCATCACTAATATTTTTCTGGATTAGATAATGGAACATTGTTGCCCATACTTTTCCTTGCACATAACCTTGGTATGCATGTTTCATTTGCACTTACAATTTGTAATATTTGTGTCGCTTCTTTGAACCATCTACGTTGTACCTCATTTATATCCTGCCAGTGTTTGTCTATTGTTTATTTTGTCAATTCGACGTACTTTCAGGCATAAACATCTTCGGAGTTATCGTGATGTTGAATATTTGGCTCAAATGATAACTTGTGTTTAAGACTTGGTTTGTAAGTATCAGTGCAATGATAAACTAGAAAGAATTCAAATTCGATGACGAGGAACCCCCTTTGAGACTAATAATGGTTGGAGACGGCTTGAATGGGTAATGAAGAAAAACTTTAATATAAGTTTAACATTGTTTGTTTTGAATTTCGCGCAAAGCTACACGAGGGCTATCTGCGCTAGCCGTCCCTAATTTAGCAGTGTAACAGTAGAGGAAAGGCAGCTAGTCATCACCACCCACCGCCAACTCTTGGGCTACTCTTTTACCAATGAATAGTGGGATTGACCGTCACATTATAACGCCCCCACGGCTGAAAGGGCGAGCATGTTTGGTGTGACGGGGATTCGAACCCGCGACCCTCAGATTGCGAATCGAGCGCCCTAACCACCTGGCCATGCCGGGCCAAGTTTAACATAACAGCAAATGTACAACGTTTCGACAAGGTTTTGTCATCATCAGGTACAAGTAATTTACACTGACACGGATATATATATAATATACAGTATTGAACAAAGATTGGTTGACTATATTAATAGTCTTGTTTGAGAATTCTTTAAAAAAGTTATTTAACATACAGTTTTTGGGAACTTCGGGAAACCACATTTTGTACATTTGCTGTTATGTTAAACTTATATTAAAGTTTTTCTTCATTACCCATTCAAGCCGTCTTCAACCATTATTAAACTAGAAAGAACTTATTGCATTTAACAAACTGGTCGCCTGCAGGGTTGGGTCGTTTCTTTGGTTTATTGGTCAGGTTGGCATGTTGCAAGGCAATTTAAAGCCCAGTGAAGCACTTCGTATAATTCAACAAATGTTTCAAATGCTTGATGCCTTTCTACCCACCTTGTACAACAGGGGTTTTTATGTCTTTCCTTTCCCTCTTTATTTTGTCTTCTGCATAAAATTGATCAATTTCATTCTCCAAACACTGATGGCGATTAGGACTATGTTTGAAAAATAACTGAAAATTTCTTGCTTTATCGACATCATGTTGCGAACGACTGGAACACTACAAGATTTAACTATGAAAAGGTTCAAGATATGCCCAGAACAGCAAGTATATATTGCTTTTTGATTCATCTCAGCAAGGCGAGTGACAATATCATTGTATTTACCCAACATATTGGAAGCCCCATCGTGACATTGACCACGCATGTCTTTCAACTTTACTTTGTATTTATTAACAAGGCAATGTTCAATGTGGGAAGCTAGGGCACTATCACTGATTCCGTTGTCACATTTTACAAACTCCATAAACTCTTCACACGTGTTATCTTGGCTGTCAACAAACCTCAGAGTTATTGACAACTGTTCAACTATTGACATATCGGTACA